TATCATTTAAAACCACATAAACTGTGTTTTTATCCACACTGGGGATGAATAACATTATTCCTTTCAGTTTCCCTTCTCATCGTCCCCCTCCATGTGAGGGTATCAACATTATTATGTACATAAAATTATGTACACGTAGGATATTCCTTATTATAAAATATAACTAATTTAATCTACTATAAATATTTCATTTTATATTTTCACGAATCATGATAAAGGGTAAAATTATCTGTAAATTTTAAAAACTCAAATTCTTCGTTTCGATTTATAGAGCAATCATTTTCACCAGACTCATCTTCACACTGAATAATCAAATCTTTAATGACAATAATTAGAAGCATTTATTGTTTATTGAAATCATTTATATTATCAACCGATGTTATAAATATAATTACAAAAATAGAGACATGGATGGTTGTGTTAGATATCACAAATAAATTTTACATAAATAACATATAAGATTATATAACGAAGGTCATAAAGTCTAGTATGTCATTTCATTAGTCATATCGATAGTCGTATCAGATATCACACACGTACACCAAATTATTACTCATATTTCTCTATACCAGTCACAGTAGAAGGAATAAATAAACAATGTCACAACACATAAGTACATGTTTAAACTGCGTTACGAAGAGATCACAATCTCATTCCGTTCGAATACACATATGGTCGCAAAGATTAGGAAGATATTAGGGATTTAAAATTTGGTTGATTCGGGACCCTTGTGGCTCAAAGGGAATTCTGGTCCCATCGATTGGTTAAGCGAGAATTGGTTATGGGTGCAGCTCTGTCGCGCCATTCCGACCATTTTGCCTATGTTTGGTAGGTATTAAAATCAGATTTTTAGTAGATTTTAATAAAATTTGATGAAATTGGTAATTAAAAAGTTGTGAAACCCATAAAACACGTGGTTAAAATTAGTTGTTGAATTTGTCTTAAATCAAAATCTAGATTTTAATCGATACCAAGAGTTTCGTATCATTAAAAAGCAAAAAATATAAATTTTAAAGACAAAAAAATGTGTACAATAATAATAATAATTGCGTAGATGCATAGTCGAAAATTGAATTCAAGTGTACGTTTCATGAAACTTTTTGTTGATTATAAGCTATGAATCATACGGAATGTATAAATAAATAAAAAGGGATAAAATAGTAGATCCTACAGATTGTGCAAGTAAAAATGATCTTTTTTACCAGCTTACAAGCTTTAGAAGCATTGCCAAATATAATCAAAGACTTGCAATTTAAAAATGGGTCTTTGGATAAATAACCAACTATTTTAAGGTGGTTTGTTTTATACTAAAAAAATAGGAAAATGCTAAGTGTACACAATCATTGACACAATGTGATGTGGCAACAA